ATTACCTGTATTCTAATCGCTCTTTACTAAGGGTCTTCTGAGAGCTGGGCACTATGCTAAGGGTTAAGGGCTTTATATGCTAATATCTGTAACTTCTCTAATAACCTTGTAATGAAGTGTTAAACTTATTTCCAGAATATTAAGCCGAGAGAGTGACAGGCAATTAATTGCCGAAGCTATGTGGTTCGTAAGCAGCGGATCTAGCTTTTGTAACGACTAAAACTTGTGGTAGTCTTTTCGCTTGAATATACTGTGCTGTTTGGTTGGGTCCAAAGTATGTTCTTAATTTGGTAACAAATTATCAGGCACATTATGTTTAATGATGTCTCTTAATACTGTGGAAAGATAGAATCAAATATCAGTTTCATTTTTCAAGCAAATGTTCAGATTAAAGGAAGAACAACATATTTTAAATAGCATTAAAATTTAACATAGGATTTTTTTTTGCCCTGTGCTAACACTAACAACAAAAACATAACACGAGCTTACAATTCAACATAGAATAAATATTTTTATTTGATCTCATTTGATTATGTCTGTTGAGTTCCCAGTAAATTTCCCCCCTAAAATCTGTATTTATTCTTCTTAGCTTTGTAGCATCGAATGTTGGGATATTTTCCTGGGAAAAGTTTTTCAGATTTCAGGATATGCCTTCTAAAGTAATTTGTTTTCCTTATGCAGTATATTTTGTGGAAATAAAATACAGCCATTGCATAATGAACCCATAAAATAAATCTGTTTTGAAAAGAAAGAAAAGACCATCTTGCTGATTTTTCTCTGTGGTACAGTACCCTAGGACTTTAGTTTTGGTACAGTTCCCTATGACTTCTATGGCATATTTAACTGGAATGCACCTGAACACTTAAGCTGATTGCCTTGTGTTATATCTTGTTTAAACAGATAGGAATATTTGTGCTCATACTAATTCTTCATTGCTGTAAAATGTACTATTTCAACCTTACTGGCACAGTAAATTTTAAATAGTGAATAGTGTTAATCTTTGAGGATAACCTTGCCCTCATAGTTCTCATTACATTATACATGCTAGATGGAGAAGCACATGGTGGTTTTCAGACATGCCTGTAACTTGGCATCTCATTTGAAGGTTGTAGGAGGAAAAGCTATATAATTTGATTCTCTTACGTTAGACACTGGGCAGCTACATTTTAAAAAGTGACCAGAGTAGCTGCTAAGGGCCACGGCTGGTGAGCAAGACTGGATGGATTATAACACACACCACGATGTACTATTTAATCTTCTAGTTTGTGAATCTAGCTTGAAGTCAGATTTTAAATCTGAAAACTTTAAAATGTTTGTTATTGTTAGTGGTATTATTATTGCACTTGGTTGAAGATTAAAATGATCTTCCTGGTAAAGATAACCTTCTGGTACATAATGAGGCTAAAGGTGCAATGGGAAAAACATACCCACTGAGTTGGTCATTAGACGTATTTATAGTTTGAAACCAGTTGGCTGTGGAGAGTAAATATTGTCATAAAAATTAGTTTGCTAGGGTCAGTGGGTCAAAAGGAATCGGGAAGTTTGTTTTTCACACCTCCTGAGTGTCACTTAGGTGATTTGATGGAAGATTTTAACAGTTTGCAAGTGAGAGAGTTTCATGAATTGAAACACTTTAAAATATAAGTGAATTTTGAGACAATGTTTTAAAACTATAATAAATGATGACCAAATAGGATTTATTCTAGGAATTTAAGCATGGTTCAATATAATTGATTACATTAAGACTTATTTATTGAAGTCAACAGGAAATAGCATTGTATGTTAAAACCCTGTAAAATCATTTCAATTAATATTGAAAGTCAAACAGTGATGCCCACTTTGCCTAGCAGAGAGTAAAAATTACATAACTATTTATTGAATGAGTGCCAGGAGACGAAACTCAGAGAGAAACTCCGAGAACGCGTTAATTAGAGTTTAAAATACTTGGCAAGGCTTGACCTACTGGGGAAACACCCAGTGAATCACCATCATTAAAGGGCTGGTGGAAAAGTTTTTAGGCAACATCCAGAAATTTGGTTTTTATTACAAAGGTATTCAAATGGTTAATAGATTTTCTCTACATCCATCTACTTTTGAGTCTTATACACACAGCCTTTGGTTATTTTTAGCATATTTCAAGTATGTAAATAAGATTGACTTATGAACTTGTATTAAAATGTGTCCTTAAAGCATTACAGAAGTATATTTTCATGAAAAACTATGAGTCTTTGTAGAAAAGTTTGCCAATGAATGTGCATTTTCCACTTGTACTGTTTATGCATAATGATAAAATAAACCAGTATCTAAATCCCAGTGCCAGTTCTTAATGTAATTATGTGGCCCCTCATAGGTCAGTAGTCTGACAGCACAACATTCTGATTTCAGAAATTTGAGTTTGCAAAAATAGTTATTCTGATTTTTTGATTTTATAAGTCTTGAGTGTGCAGTTTGTAAATTAATATTAGCACCTGGTAGCACATGCTTTAAAAATAATCTGTATCCCAGAGTGTATATTACACTCTGTTCTTTATTCCTGTGTGGCTTTTCTGTGGTTGTGGAATGGTATTCCTGTCAGTTTCCATGATGTCAATAACTGTGTGGATTTTGCTTTAATTTGTCCAGCCTTGAACTCTTTATGAGGTGATAATGACCTGAATGCTCTGGAAACATAATTTTCGCCTTGGAAAAAAACATAATTATAGGTTGTAGTCAGATTAATAATGTAAGAGACTTTCGAATGTAAGAATGGGAATCGACTGCATGTAAACAACTTATATTAATTTAATATTGAGCTTTAAGACGTTTGATAACTTCCACATCTTACAGGAAAACCAATCTAAGTTTTATAGAGACTCCTGATCAAGAATGTGAAAACTCAGCAGCAGAATTTATCTTGCCCATCATTGTGTTTCGTAGTTATTGAAAAGGCTGGACGGGATAAGGGAAAGTGGGTTCGAAACAGCTGCTCTATCCATAGCTGTGTCTGTGGATGCAAAAACTGCTTCCCTCAACTAGCTTTTCATAAGTTTAAAAGTTAAATTCTTTTCTTCCCAGACAATTTTTGAGTGAAAACCAGTTGCCAGCTATTTTAAGAAGCTGTAAAGGAAAATGTGCATTGATTGTATTGTGTCAGTCAGAATGGGTTAGGTTACACTGTGGCAGTGAAGCACCCTGTCACCTTTCGGGTTCTCTGGAAAGCAAACCCTGGGACAGAGTTTGTTTAGGCTACTGATTAGGTCCCGGGGAGAGGGAAGGGGAAGGGGAAGGGGAAGAAGAAGCTGGATTGGGCAGGGGGAAAGATCAAGTCCACCTACCAGTCTCGGTGCCCATCAGAGTTGTTGCTCACGGGATGAAATAGGCCTTGATCCGTCATTGTGTGAAGGTGTGAGGGTCACTCCAGAGCTAAAGCAATGTCTGTGTTTAGGCTACTGATTAGGTCCCGGGGAAGGGGAAGGGGAAGGGGAAGGGGAAGAAGAAGCTGGATTGGGCAGGGGGAAAGATCAAGTCCACCTACCAGTCTCGGTGCCCATCAGAGTTGTTGCTCACGGGATGAAATAGGCCTTGATCCGTCATTGTGTGAAGGTGTGAGGGTCACTCCAGAGCTAAAGCAATGTCTGCAAGTGCTGGTAGCTGGATGATGCCAGTGATAGTGATCCTGGCAAAGGGGCAACACGCATTCCCTGAAGATGTATTTAGTCACCACATCTCCATATTCAACATAATTCATTCTTGGAGCCACTCAGTCCACTTCTTCAAATACATTTGTTGTAAGCTCCCGGGAAACACCTCGGTCATTGCTCTGTCTTCTGCAGCTGGGCTCAGGGCTGGCAACTGATACTCCTCATATCCCCCCTCCATTATTTGTTCTACATATCCCTTACGTCAGCTAGAACTTCTTCTGGCCATGAAAAGATGCTCAGCATCCCTAATCATTAGGGAAATGCAAACCGAACCCACAATGCAAGGGTTCCACATCCTTACCGACACTTACTTTGTTTCTATGTTATCAAGAAATAGGAAGTAAGTGTCGGTAAGGGTGTGGAGAAATGGGAACCCTTGTGCACTGCTGGTTGGAATGCAAAATGGGATAGCCACTTGGAAGAGTATGGAGGCTCCTTAATATGTTAAACATAGAATTACCGTGTGATCCCGGAATTCCACTAAGGCTAAGACTGTTGGCAAAGAGTTTATGGCGGAGTTCTAGAGTTTTGGGTCTTTCATTTCTGTAAATGGTGTGAGAATTAGGTCCAATTTCATTCTTATGCATGTTAGCTTTCCAGTTTTCTCAACACCTTTTATTGAAGAGACGGTCTTTTCTCCAATCGTATATTCTTGCCTCTTATTGTAGATTAATTGACCATATAAGCGTGGGCTTATTTTAGGGTTCTGTCTTCTGTTTCATTGACTTGTGTGCCTGTATTTGTGCCAGTGCGATGCCATTTTGATTGCTGTAACTTTGTAAAATAATTTGAAATCAGGAAGCATGATACCTTCAGCTTTCTTCTACATTTGCAAGATTGCTTTGGCAATTTGGGGTCTTTTGTGGTTCCATACTAAATATTTCATTTTGATGATTCTGTTTTTAGATATTCTTTCACTGAATATTAAGTTTGTATGCATGTATGTAAAGTTTGATTTAGTGATTTAACTTTCTATTAGGTTTGCCCAGTATTGACATTCATGCATTATTTTACTATATGAACCGTGGTTTATTTGGTAAAAATATGTCATTAAAATTGTTTTCCAATATGAAATATATACCCAGTTTCTTACCCTTCATTTTATTTATTGTCATATATTAATTTATTTGTGGGAATTACAGATATGTCATTTTTATTTAAGGAATAATGCTAGTTTAATTACAACGCTAAATTATAGGTCATGGAAAATTAATGAGAGGCATCCTAACTTTAGGTATTATATCATTAATTTGGCCAGTGATTGTTATATAGTATTTGTCTTTATTTTTTATTTCATTTTCCTTTTGTTTTTTTGATCTCTTTTATTCTAGCTTGTGATGAATGGAAAATATTACCGAAACCAAATCTTCATAGAGATGTTAACAGATTTGGACACTCTGCAGTTGTCATTAATGGGTAAAAGAAATACTTTTATCAGTTATACTATCCCATATTCTGTTATTCTTTTAAAAAATATCATTTGTACTTAATGGCTTTGGATTTTATGTATCCCTACTGTACCGTGGAGTACCTTTTGGATCATTAACCATATCCTCCATTCTCTTTTGTTTAAATATATTTAAGGAGTAGGGGAGTTGTTAAAGGAAAAGTGCTGAGACAAAACTTCAGATACTTAGAAAAGAGTCATCTTTCCTTTTTTCCCTTTTCCAGAGATCAGATAATGAATGACCTCCTTAAAAAAGATCAAACTGAATTGATAGAAAGGCTAGCCCCATATTTCTATAGAAGAGAGCAAGGATCTTGAGAAGAATTCATTTTAGTTCTGTCATTATTTAATGCATGATTTTTGACATGTCTCTTAACCTCTCTGGACTTGAATATTCTTAAGTCCACTGGGAATTTGGAGTGGATGATCATTAAGCTACCTTCCTCCTATAAATTAGTATGATTTTTCTATTTCTGTAGCAAAAATTTGGTAATATGGACACAAGTGACAGTAAAAATATGCTAGCTCATTCATTTGCTTCAATGTATAATTCATAATGACATGCTTATAAGTTCATTTTATTTTACCATTTTACTCAAATTATGTAAAATTCCCCAATATGATACTAAAAGCAGGTAGAAGTTAACTATTGTACAGTGAAACTGTGCAATTTATATTAGTTGGCTTTCAAAATAGTAATAAATGAAATTCAGAGTGTAAACATATGATCTCTAGGCTTCTCTGTTGAAAAATTGTTTTGTTGATTTCTATTTTACTTCTCTTAAATAGTAGAAGGTATTTTTGAAGCATTTTAAAAGAATACAAAAGAAATGAAATGAAAATACTGTTGTGAGGGACTCTAAAACTTCCTTGGCATTGGTACTACTAATTCAGTAATTGTTTGGCTTTTTCTTTCTAAATTGAAATTTTGAATTTTTTTTTTGATTATTGATTTTAGGGAGGGAGCGAAGAAGAGAGAGAAAGAGAGAGAGGGAGAGAGATAGATCAGTTTTTGTTGCTTCACTTATTTATACATTCATTGATTGACTCTTGTACATGCCCTGACCAGGGGTTGAACCAACAAGCCTGTCCTATCAGGGTGACTCTCTTAACCCACTGGGCTTCCTGGCCAAGGTCTACTCTTGCTTTTTTTTGAATTTTATATTCCCCAGCTGCCA